TTTTTTTTTTTTTTTACCATCTTTTTTTGCTGTGTTGTTCAGGCTGATCTTAAACTCCGGGCTTCAAGCAATCCTCCCACCTGGGCCTCCCAAAGTGCTGGCATTATAGGCATAAGCCATTATGCTTAACCAAATTTACCATCTTTAACCATCTTTAAATGTGCAGTTCAGTGGAATTAAGTACATTCACATTGTTGTGCAACCATCACCATTGTCCATGTCTAGAACTTCCTTATCTTAACAAACTGAAACTCTGTCTCTATGAAACACTAACTCTCCACCCTCTGGCACCCACCATTCTACTTTCTGTCTCTGTGAATCTGAGGACTCTAGGGATTTCCTGTGAGTGGAATCATAGTGTTTGTCCTTTCGTGACTGGCTTATCTCTGTGAGCATAATGTCCTCAAGGCTCATCCATGCTGTGCAAGTGTCAGAATTTCTGTCCTTTTTAACGCTAAATATTCCATTATATGGGATAGACCACATTTTGTTGATGCCTCATCTGTTGATGGACACTTGTTTCTACCTTTTGGCAATTGTGAATAATGCTGTTACAAAGGTGGTGTACAAATATCTGTTTCAGTCTCTGCTTTCAATTCTTTTGGGGACATACCAGCATTTGTTTTTTAAATATACTCTGGGTCTCACTTTTAGTAGTTGGGAATTTTTAGCCTTCTCTTATTTCCATCCATATTCCCTACATAATTTTATCCTAACATGATATATCCATGTGCTTAAAACCTTTTTTGCCTACCCTATGTTATACTTATAAACTCAAAATACACTTATGCAATGTGCTTGCAAAGTTAGGAAACCCAGGCCTTGCTACTTTTAAATAGTGTGTTAAAAAAAAAAAATAGTGGGTTAATTACAGTTTAAAATAATATGCTCACTACTTGGAGGCTGAGGTAAGAGAATTGCTTAAACTTAAAAGTTTGAGGTTGCCGTAGGCTGTGATGACACAGCACTCTACCAAGAGCGACACAGTGAGACTCTGTCTCACAAAAAAAAAATATGCTCAGTATGTTTTTTGGGGAAGTTTCTCTAAATTTAAAGCTACAAATGCAATTGTTAGAATTGTTAGTTTAAAAAAAACATAGTACAGTAGCTACACCACCCACTATCCACAAAATCTGGAAACACCTGGAAAACAGCATGCATTGTATTTTTTTCAGTCTTAAACTAGATCCCCTCCTTTAATCCCTGAAAGGCCTCTAAGTTGAAGTGAAACACCTTGACGTTGGATTAGTTTTATTACCTGTGATTGTAAGTCTCTCAGTGTTTAAAAAAAATTT